GCACCCCCACTGGCTCCTGGGCGCCTGGCCCCCGCGGACGGCCCGGCAGCGCAGACCTTCGCTGAAGAGACGCGGCCAGTGGCGGGGACTGGCCGGCGGCGTCCGAGGCCCGCGCCCCGCCGCCACCCCCACCCGCTTGCCCGCCGGTCCCTCCGGCCGCCGCCATGTCCTCCTCCTCATCCTCTCCCAGGGAGGCGTACGAGGAGGACCGCGAGTACGAGAGCCAGGCCAAGCGCCTTAAGACCGAGGAGGGGGAGATCGACTACTCGGCTGAGGAAGGCGAGAACCGCCGGGAAGCGACGCCCCGGGGCGGGGGCGATGGCGGCGGCGGCGGCGGCCGGAGCTTCTCACAGCCGGTAACAAAGCGCGGCGCCCTGTCCGCTGTGCCTGGCGGCTCCCTGGGAAGCAGGGTCGAGCGGCGGGGACTCGGCCCCGGGGCCTTCCGCGCGCCTCGTTGCCCTCTGCTGCTGCGCTGACCGCGTCGGGAAGCGCCGGCTCTTTCTTCTCTTCGGGGTTTTTATTCTTTGCCCTACCTGTTTCCCGCATCCCGACCGCGAACCCGGCTCCGGCCTGGCTGCAGGCCCCGCGTGCGAGTCGTCTACCGGCCCTGAACTTGGGGAGGGTAGCCCGGCGGGGGCGGCGGGGCGGCGTTGCTTCCGCTCCCGGGGGGCTTCGGTGCGCGATAAGCTCTTTGTTAGTTCAACTCCTCCGGCTGCTGGCCGGCGTCGGGACGCCCCGCTCCCTTCTGCCCCTGTGCCCGCAGCATCTGCGCGCTGGTCACGGTCGCAGGATGGTTGTTGCGTCGGTTCCGCCGGGGTCTCTCTTCACCTGGGTCCTGAGCAGAGCCGTAACTGAATGACAAATTATGCCCTGGAGCTCACACCCTAGTTCGCCTGGAGGTCTAATTTCAAAATTTTTACTCTTGGCAGGCATGGTGCGCATGCTTTGCTACCCAGTTTTAGGATTATTGCTCAGTACAGATCTTAGCTCTTCGGTCAAAAAAACAAGTGTTGGTAGGTGTGAACACGACCCTTACTTTCAAGTAAAACAAATCTTAAAATCACCACAGTTCATGGACGGCTTATTCCAAATTTGCCCCACGAAAGGAAGGACTGAGCTCGGAATTGGATTAAACACACCTTCCTAGATTCTTGTTGCTCTTATCAGAAACGTTAGCTGGAGGCAGAAGGAATGTGAAAATCGTCTTATCCGCCGCAAGTAGTAACTCAGCTTCAGTTGCATGGAGACTTTAAGGAAACAAAGCAAAGCAAAAGTCTTTGCCCTTTTTTGGTGTACTTCATATGTGTTAGCGGTTTAGATGTCTTTTAAACATGTGACACATTTTAATTGATTTTTTGAAAGGAGACTTTTCCTGAAATTTAAGAAAATGTACACATATATTCTATTAAAATGTTTTTCACCCTTTATAAGAGGCCAGTGATAAGCTTCTTAGGTATTTGAATTTTTAAAAAATATTTATCTTGAGATACAGAGTGGGGGGGGGGGAGGGGCAGAGAGAGGGAGAGAGAGAATCCCAAACAAACCCGAGGGATCACGATCCGATCGGAGCTGAAATCTAGACTCTGGTGCCCAACCGGCTGAGCCACCCAGTGCCCCTAGCTATTTGAATTTTTATATAAAAAAAATTCTGGTCAGTAGTTACCAACGTTAGTTTCCCAATTTGAAGCTGTGACATAGGTTTCAACACATTAGAAAAAAGGAACTTTTTCTTCCTCTAAGTTAATGTTTCCTTATAGCTAGATATGTATGACTTGATTTTTGTGCCTAGGTATTTGGCATACTCAAAATGTATCTTGGGCTTGCGCATTAAAAAATGCATGTCTTCTAAATGTTTCAGTTCAAAGCCAATTCCATTGTGGAAGTTTGGAAACAGGAATATTGTAACTGATCTTTTAGAAGGGTCAGTGTATTTCTTTTGCCACAAGTCTTGAGTTTTTTGTGCAGTAGCATGAAATGTCTTAAGTGTGTTGGAAAGATACCTAAATTCTTTAATGAAAAAAATATTTTTTGAGAAACAGATTAAACATTAAGGCAATAGATTATTTTGCATGTTGGGAAGAAAATAATATATGCTTAATATATCCAAAGTGGATGGTATCTGGCAGTGGAAATAGTACTTGTCAGGGCTTGGGGAGAGTCAGGAGTCCTAGCTCGCATATCTGTGTGCCTTTGGGAAAGTCAATTCACCCTAGTCTTGAGTTCTTTTAGTATAAAAGTTGAGCCTTTCTATACCTGAAGTTGTAATTCAGTGATTAATGTAATGCAGCTTTTAAATTACCCAGGCAGGATCTAATAAATGCAGATTGAGTTATAAATTTTAATTTTTGTTTATTTACTGCTATTTTGTTTCTCAGAGTGTGAATTGCTTTTAACAGTAGGAGCAGTGCTGCACTGTGAAATCTAATGAAGGCTTATTTTTCCTGTGTTTAAACCTTTTTCTTCATGCGATTTTTGGTACTATTTTGAAATTATTGCAACTATGGAAACCTGTACATAATAAAATTGTATTAGGATAGGCATTCCCTGGATAAAAGTTTAACGTCTAGTGCGTCATCAGCCAGAGGTATGGTAATTTATCTAACTGAAATGGTTTTGGCTCAACCTCAGTTGTCTGACAGTCCAGCCAGAGAAGAAATACTTTGTGGTCAAACTGTTAAATAACAGCAAATGCAGATTAGGTACAATGATGGGCAATCTTTTCAACTCAGTTGGAGGTTTGTCAAGTGCAAAGTAAGTCTTCAAGGATTTACATTATTTAGTTTTTGATAATTAAGTTTCCATGAGTGCTTTAATCTATTTATTAATTTAATCTATTAATTAGATGTAAAGAGGAAAGAAAGTATTTAAGAAAAGCTATGTTTCTACAAATGCTAAGTTAAAGATGAATTGATCACTGAATGATCATGATGTGTTAAGGTGTATAGAGAAGTGAGTTAGTAGTTCGGATATGAGAAATAAGACACTCTTCAAATTTATGTCTTCTGGTACTTAATTTGAAGACCAGAAATTCCTAGAGTGTTTCAGATTCACTGTGCTGCATTGTTGAACAAAGCTGGATTATGAAAGTTTGTGCTGTGTATTATAAGTTACTTTATTCTTGTGGAGTAAGTGGTGGTCTTAAATTTAGAAGTCATGACTTTCAACCTTCAAGATCATATGAATAGTAAATTTCTATATCTGTTTATTTTTTAGAAAGCAGCTTGACTTCAAAATTAGGGCTTTACTTGGTGAAACCAATTGAAGAATTAAATTGAGAGGTTACCTAGAAAGATCTGCTTATATAAAGACTGATATCAATAAAAATTTATGGAATGCTAATTCATTTTGGAGACTTCAGGTTTTTTTTTTTTTTTTTTACTATCTTCTGCTAGTGAGTAAACAGGCAAATCAGATTGTTAAAGTGGCTTGTTTGCCGATGAGATGAAAATTTAAGTTTCTCAATGTTTAATAAATAGACTTGTAAGATGGCAAAACGTCATGATAAAAACGTAGATCCTAGGATTTCTTAGTGATATATATTATGTGGAGGAGCTAGTTTGAATTTAAGATACACTATTATACTTTAAGGATCTGAATTACAGAGATGTATAGGAATATTAATGATGGCTTATTAGATGAATATGGGATGAGGGATAAGGTGAGGTCACTTTGTTAGCTTAGTTCCCACAGGAAAAGTTTAGAGGCTGACAGTGAGCATAGTAAATACACCCTGGGGAATGAAAAAGCTAAAGGATGTGTGTGCCCTGGAGGTAAGCGCCAGAGTTTTAATTTTTAAGGCTTCTATAGCAATAAATGTGCTCTGTCTCTAGCTATGCTGCTGTTGTGAGGATTTTCAGGCCTTGTGTTAGGAAAGAAGAGAAAGGTAGTAGGTTTTGTTATCTTTTGGTTTTAACAAGTGACTACATTTCTTCGTGTTAGTACATACAATGAAAAGAGCTTTTTAATGGACCTATAAGCCCAACCAAGGCAGGTGTTTTGGTTCTGCTACCAACAACATGCTTTGTGACTTAACCTCTCTGGAACTCAACCATCATGAGGAGGTTGGATCAGATGATCACTGTGATCTCTTAATTCATCAAAAAACAATACTCGAGCCCCTTTTATGTGCCAGGTGCTGTTGTCTGTGATGGGGTTATAAAAGTAAAGAAAAAAAAATTCCAGGGGTGCCGGGGTGTCTCAGTTGTTTAAGCGTTGGTCTCTTGATTTCGGCTCCAGTCATGATCTCACAGTTTGTAGATTTGAGCCCCAAGTTGGGCTCTGCACTGATGGTGCAGAGCCTGGTTGAGATTCTCTCTGTCTCTCTCTCTCTGCCCCTTCCTGGCTTGAGTTCTCTTTTTCTTTCCCTCAAAATAAATTAATTTTAAAAATTCCATATCTAAAAATCTGTGACTCTACGTCATTTAATGCCTTTTTTTTGCCTCTGAAATTGAATACACCTTTCAAAGCTTGTAGTTTCAGCCACAGCAACAATTCAGGTGAGCTTAAGCAAAACAAAAAGTTGGCCTGTGTAACTGAGAAAGCTAAGTTGTGGTCGCGGTTTCAGGCATGGCTGGATCTAGGGATTTAGATGATGTCACTGAAACTTGATTCTATATGCTCTATTTCCTCCATGTAGTTATAAAACTAGACTTGCAATTTTTATAGCTAGCAAATAGAGAATACTCTTCTCCTCTCCCCGGTGCCCATATTTATCCCTTCTGATCAACACTTTTTAGCTTCCCTAGCCCTGCAGCTAATCACTGGGCTACTTCTGAAGTTGGATAGGCATGACTGTGTGATTGAAAATACCAGTGGAATAATACAGAGTTCAGGGTTGTGTATGTGTTTAACCAGAAGAAGGGGGAAGGGGATCTGGGTAGGCAAAACCAGAGAATCCCTGCTGCATGTGTAAAAAAGTAAAGGTTATTTTTTAAAAAGTTATTTGAATGGTATGGCTGTTCTTTTTAATTTTGCTCTGTTATGGGATCAAGTGTACCTGAAAACTTAGGTAAGAAAATGAAAGGATTTCTCATATTTTGGATCTGCTGTATTGTTTCTTTAAAAAAAGAAAGAGGGGGGGGCGCCTGGGTGGCGCAGTCGGTTAAGCGTCCGACTTCAGCCAGGTCACGATCTCGCGGTCCGTGAGTTCGAGCCCCGCATCAGGCTCTGGGCTGATGGCTCAGAGCCTGGAGCCTGTTTCCGATTCTGTGTCTCCCTCTCTCTCTGCCCCTCCCCCGTTCATGCTCTGTCTCTCTCTGTCCCAAAAATAAATAAACGTTGAAAAAAAAAAAAAAAAAGAGACGAAGAGATGTGATTGTTTAATTTAGTAAGAAAAATTATGTAGTTAACTCTAAGC